GCAGAGCTCGGCCGCGGGGCTTGCGCGTCCCCCCAGCTCCGGCCGGGCCTCTCCGCGCCGCGCCTCGAGCCGCTCCGAGCGCTCCCGAACCTTTCGGCCTTCCTTTTTGTCTCTCGGTCTTGCTCTCTCTTCGTCTGTCTGTCTGTTTCCGTCTCCCACTTTCTCTGGTTCTTTCTTTCTGTTTCTTGCCTCCGCTTTCAGCTTCCCTGGGCTTGTCTGCCCATGTTTTCTCTGTGCCTCTCAGTCCTGCCCCACTGTGGAAGTCTCTGTGTCTCTGCGTACCCCTGCCCCCCACCCCAAATTCAGACAGTCCCCTAGTGTCGGAGGCACGGCCCCCCAGTGGGGTTCATGAATACTTTCCTAGACCGGGCGAAGGGGGGCAACCCTCCCCCTACCTTCCGCCTGCCCCGGGGCCTGGCCTGGGTCATCCCCCTGGAATTGAGTCGGGGCCTGGGGAGCCAGCCTTTCCGGGGGCCCGGTTTTCTTAAGAATTCCACCCCCACGAGGCCTGGACTGCAGGGCCCTGCTGCCGGCCACCTGCCCGCCCGCTCCCTGGGCGGGGCGATTCAGATCTTTTACAAGCCGCGGCGAAGGGGCAGCTGCCTGCCTTGGCTGACCAGAGGCTTGGCGGGCACCAGGGGAGAAGGGCACATTTGCAGGCTTCCTGAGGCCCTTACCCAGCTGGAGGACACCAGCCTGTAACTAGGGAAGCCTCGGGAAAACAGAGGTCAGGGCTGGAGGCCAAAGGCTGGGCCAGGGGGTGGGGGCGGGGTGGGGCGCGAGGGGAGGGGAAGCAATTTGTCAGCCCGGAGCCCCTGGCCCTTTGTTACTGCGAACCACCCGCTGCCTGAAACTCCCCCAGATGCTGGGGCTGCTTGGGTGTGGTTTGCCTTCCCCTAGGGCCAAAGACCGGGGAGGCTGGACGTTTCCTTGGCGACCCCCACCCCTCTCCCCCCAGCCTTGGCTAGCTGGACCTCTCTCCTGGCCTTGCCTGTGGCAGAGATGGAGCCTGGAGGGATGGACGGCAGGGCGAGGAGGCTAGGTGGTGCGCTTTACCCACAGCCATGTCCTCATTCTTAAAAAGTGAGATTTCAGTTTAGCTCCTCCCCACCCCCAATGCCAAGGCCAGAGGCTGCCCTGGTGGGCAGGCGCTGGAGAGGCCGCGGGGAGGCCGCAGTGGCGCTTCTGCTGAGCAGATGTGTAGGCCTGGTGTGCAGCGCTCATCGGCAGATATTTGCTTGGGAGAGTTTTGGGTCTGTGGGCAGGAGGGTCGGTGGGCAGGAGGCCGGGCTAGGTAGAGGCCGCGGTCAGGAGGGCAGCTCTCTCGGCACAGACTCGGCCCTGTGGGCCTGGACGGCCAGCTCCTGCCTGGCAGAAAGAAGGTGTGGAGGCACAGGAGAAAATGCCTGCACCCTGTGGGTTCTTCTGGGGCTGGTTGAGCAAGCAAATTAACATCAGACAGATTAGTAGGAGAAAAAGACCAAATTTAATTATATACGCATGGGGAATCCACTCGGCTGTCAGCTCTGCAGTAAATGGGGTGGCGGGGAGTGAGGGTTTATAGTTGAGCTAAGGAATGGGACAGGGGCCTGGAGGGAGGAGAGAGGGAGGGGCCTCACATGACAGGGACAGGGTGACTCATCGCCAAGCCGGAGGCCCTGCCAGCTCTCAGTGGTACACTGGGGTTCTGGAGATGACCCTAAGCCTGGGCAGGCTTCCTTCTCTAAGGTTACGGGCCAGATTCTTCTGACCCACACGCCGAAGTGCCGGGTATTAGAAAACGCCCGCTCTGGACGCTTTGAAAAAACCCTGTGAGTATTTTGTGGGGACCCACCCTTTCAGGGAAGCCACCTGGTGATGAGCCTGGAGTCTTGGAATCACAGAGGTCTCAAGATCCTGGCTGGAGCCAGGCTTCCCTTGAGGGAGTCGGTGAAGTGGGCATTCCCAGGCCACCCTCGTTTAAAGTGAGGCTTCGGAAGGTGAGGCGAGTGGCCTGGGACCTGGGCCTGTCACTGTCCTGCCCCTCCCGCAGCCAGCCTTTAGCTGTGCCACCGAGGAAGCCCGCGCCTCCCAAGGTCTGCAGTGGTCCCCAGCCAGGCTGCCCCAGGACGCCCCACCCTGTGGACCAGGCCGTCTGGCTTCTGGAAGCTGGGGGGCTGCTCTCCAGGATCCTGTCCGTTCCGCCGGCAGTGGCCCAGGGTCGGAGTTGGCCAGCCAGAGGGCTGTGTTGGGCAGCACGGGACGGTTTGGGAACCTTCCCCAGCCAGCACCGCGTTTTTCTGGGATTCCCCGCGAGGTTCCCTCAATCCAGTTTCACGGGGTCAGATGCAAACCCTACTGAGAGGGTCTCAGGACCCACCCAGCACCCTGTGGAAGGGGGAGAGTGGGAGGAGCTGGCGTGGGCAGCCTTCAGGGAGGGTGAGCCTCGGGGTGACCCCACGGCAGCCCGCGCCAGGGTGGCGTCCCCAGGCCGGCGCCCGCCCACGGCCGGGCTTGCCACGTGACTGCAGGTTCATTTTCGCGGCGGCCCTGTGAAGCCCGGTGAGGCGCTGTTGCCACCCTACCGCTGTGCAGATGGGGAAACTGAGGCAAGGAAAGGCAGCAGGGCTAAGCTGGGATTGGAGCCCCAGCCTCAGTCCATTGTGGATAATGGAGGAGACAGGCCCCCGCCTGCTTGTGGGGGGGTGGAGGTGGGGACAGGAGCATCCATTTTGAGAGACACCCCCAGGCAGGCCCCATGTGCTTTCTGTCGAGTTGCTGTTACCTGAGTGCGGAGCCCACAGGTGGAAACGTCCGTCTGCTCGTCCGCCTGTCCTGTTGCTGGGGCTGAGTGGGAAGGACTTGGGTCGGGAGGCTGCCTTTCCACTCAGGATTTGCCAGGCCTACCCTGTGCCCTCCCCCACGGCGTGTGTGTGTGTGTGAGAGAGAGACAGAGACAGAGACAGGCTAGAGACCGGGTGCCTGACCTCAACCGACCCCGAATATTCTGATTTACCCAGAAGGAAATGAGCAGTGACTGTTCGCTTGTTGTACTGAATTGGCTCTTGGCCCTGCAAAGGGTTTCAGTAGCTGGGGTGGAGGGTGGGCTGGAGGTCACAGCCCCTCTGGGTGACAGTGAGACCTGATTCCCCACCAGAATCAGCGGTGTGTGTGACAGCATCCAGCACTGGCAGCCGTGCTGCTAAAAGGCACATTCCTCCCGGAATTGGGGGGCCATGGAGCAGGGGCTCAGAATTACGTGGGTGCACAGAGTTGTCAGGAGCTGCACCCCACACTCGTGCATGGGTCAGGAAGTCCAGGACCGGGGCCCGGGCACCTGAGCTTTGGGCCAGCACCTCAGGGAAGAGGCTGGGCTCTGGCAGGTGTGGAAAGAACAAACCCCACAGGCCTGACCCCAGAACCCTCACATGGTCTGACTGCCTCACCTCCCACCCCCCGCAATCCTTCTGAACCAAGCTCCAGGAAGCCCCCGCAGCAGAGAAGGGTGCTGGCATTTATCCCTCCATCCCCGCCTCGGTTTAGATGGGCTGTGACCTCCCCCACTTCCTTTTTGCGTCCTCAGCATGTAGTCAGGTGTCTGCACGAGGACCCTGGGAGACTCAGGGCCAGGGTTGGGGCCTGGGGGGTCGACGGCCCACACCCTGAGCTGAGGACACCCTCCTTGAAGCGGGACTCAAACCTGAAAGAGGGTAGGGTCACCCCTTCCCCGGCTCCGTGAGAAGCGGTCCACCAGGGCCATCTGCTTGGCTTCTGGGGTTCAGGATCAGGACTGGGACTCTGAGATGGGCTCCCGGACCCCCCCCCCCCCCCGCTGGGGTGGGCCTCCAAGTGTTCCCCGGGAAAGAGGCAGCCCCCAGGCAGAGGCCGCACACCTCTGGGTTCTTGTCAGCTCCAGACCGGTCCGGAGGCCTCTCTAGGTCCTGGGAGCCCTGCCATCTACCCTTCTGGGTCCAGGGTCACGCTCTGTTCCGTGCGGAGATCTCCGTCTCCTGTGCCTCCGTGTTTTCATCTACGTAACGGGGGCAGATAATTGCATTTGTGCCATGGGGCTGTTACAGGACCGAATGAATGAGCACGTGCAGAAGTGCCTAGACCCGTGCCTTGCCCACAGTGGGCACCGCCTGGTTGCAGCGAGGCAGGGGTGGGCGCAGGGGTGGGCGGGAGGGGAGGCTCTGGGGCGCCCCCTGCCTCCCCCTGAAGGGGCACAGTTAACAGCGTCCCAGTGGAGCTGCAGAGAACCGATGACCCAAGGAAGCACATTAGCCTTGGGACAACTCCTTTGCAAAGCGGGGGTCAGCGGCCTGGTAGTTCGGGAGCTCATGACTTGCCCTGAGACCTCTGCGGCAGGAAGGAACGAGAATCTGGGTGAGGCTCTCACGTCTCAGGAAGGAAGGTCAGACTGCTTAAAAAAATTAGCTGAGTTGCTGCTGCTTGAAAAAACAATGGAAAAGCATAAACCAAATGAAATTAAAACTTGTTGGCAGAGTCCTCAGCCCCCTCTCCATGCGGGGGGGCACCAGGGGGCCACGTGGGGGTGTGTCCCAATCAAGGCATGTGGGCGAGCCCAGCCTGGCACCTCTCTGCTCTGCTCAGCTCCTACTTGGCTCTGAAGTGGTTCACCTTTCCCGCCATCTCTCCCGGGGAGGTGGGGTGGGGTGCGGGGGGAGAGAACTGGCCTGAATTGGGTGCCTGTGGGTGCTTTCATTCTCTCAGTCTTAAACGGCTCCCCGTTTTAAGGTTGGGGTCAGAGGCACAGTTTAAGCCTGGAAGCACACAGCTCCTAGGAGGGAGGGTTTGCACAGGGAGACCCCAGGGCCACGCTTCTGGTGGGAGGCTGCTGATCTGGGGAAGGAGAGTCATCTCAGCCCCCGCACCTGAGGCCCTGGGTGGGGTTTCAGGGCCCCTACCTGGGCACAGCTGGCTCTCCATGAAATGCCCAGAGAGAGGAAGAAGAGGGTTTTGGCATTTCTCTGCTACAACCGATCTAGCCGATCCCCTGGCCAGCCACCATGACCCCATCTCCCCATAAACCTCCATCTCAGCTCTAACGAACCTCGGCCTGGCTCACCCTGGCCTCAGTTCTATCATGACCTCTTAATTCCGACTCCGAATTGGAGCAGAGGGTTCGACCCAATCTCAGCCTCACTTCCAAATCCTGACAGAGCTGGGTCCCGGCTTCCCCCCCGGTTTTCCAGAGGAGTCATGATGGGGGTCGGTTCAGGGACAAAAGTCCCCTGACACCTCAGAGGTTACTTAAGGGCTGGTCCAGCCTGGACAGGCCAGCGAGCTCCCTGAGGGGAGAGCCACCTCCTGGGTGTCCAGCTTGAAGAGAACCTGGGCGCCAGTTAGGAACGTGTCCGTTCTGTTTTGTCAGACGTGGTTGTACCGAACAGACAGGATCTGCTGTCCGTCTTGTAGGCGAGGCCTGAGTGGTGACACCCCAGTCCTGACACAGTCTCCGGGGAGGGGGCAGAGGGTCTGGGTTCACCTCTGCACTTCACCCATCCGTGCTGGGCCAGGACATAGAGGTGGGGCCAGGCCCTGCTTCCCGAGACCTCCAGCGGGGAGAAGGGGCAGCAGCTGGGGACAGGTGGGGGGAGGGGGCACAGCCTTCCCAGCAGGCGCCCCCCAGCCAGGCCACCCAGGCTCCCGGGGCCAGCACCCCCTGCCCTCCCGGACCCTTCACCAGCTACCCACCAGAAGCTTGGTAGGAATGCAGACGCCTCCCTGCCCCTCCCTAGACCACCTTCTGCCCCAGCCCCGCTGGGGTTCTCATGTTCTACCAGGCCTGGAAACCACTGGTCACTACTCATTTTCCAGGAGGCGACCCAGCGGCCTGAGTGTCCAGGATCACACAGCTGGTGTCAGTGCAGTTCCCTGTCCCCAGAGGACCTCTCCCTGTGCAGGCTTTACCCTCCTTCTTGGTCCCCTTGAAGCCTTCTCCCCCACTCATTTTGAGGTGGGGGCGTCTGCAAAACCTCCTGGAGACCCAGCTGGGGGACCTTGGGTGAGTGCCCTCTGGATGGCTGCGCAGACACTCTGCCCTGCAGTGCCACCTTCTGGCAAGTTCTGGTATTGCCACACCTTGCACCGTCATTCCAGAGCAGGGAGTTTGCGAGGGACCAGCTCTGGGTTCCCATGTCTCCTGCTGGGCTCAGGGTTAGGATGCAGAGGGGGTGAATGGTGTGTGGGGGGACTCTGGACTCAGGTCCTGGAAGGGTATTCTGGAAGCACGGTCTGGTTTGGGAGTGGTGTTTCTTCCTGAGGTCCAGCCAGCCAAGGAGGCACAAGAATTGACAATGGCCTGAAGACAGCGGCGAGCTCTTCCTGCATCAGCCTGCTGACCCGTGGCATCGTGTCCTGGGGGCATGCAGGGTGACTAGCCCCTTGAGGACGGGCATGGGGGGCAATTTGTGCTTCCCTGGAGGATCCGATACCTTAGAGAGAAGAGGGAGCTAGTGGTGCTTAGCTGGTGTTTGGGAGCCGAGTTGGCTTAGCGGTGACCACAGTCCTTTTCTGTGCATGGTAGCGCCACCCCCACAGTTCAGTGGAGAAACTGAGTCACAGTAAAAAAAATGACTTGCTCAATGCAAATAGTAAGTTTAAAAATAATTAACAATATAGCATCTGTACTATGCTAGCCTCTCTGCGATACTCAACCGGTGCACATACTCTCAGCACCCCCTTTGTGAGGTTCCTAAGGGAGCACGAAGCTGTCCAGGACTGTGCTTGGCTCCTGAGTGGTAGAGCTGGGCCTGCAGAGGGCAGCACTCGGGTGTCAGTGCTCCCACCTCTGCTCCTGCTGTGCAGCCTCGGGGGCCCTGCTGGCCCTCACCTGCCGACCTTGCTCAGTTCTAGGGTTCCGACGGCCACGGGCATGATGCTTCAAGTCCTGGTGGGGGCTGTTCTCCCCGCCTTGCTGCTGGCCGCCCCACCGCCCATCAACAAGCTGGCCCTGTTTCCAGACAAGAGTGCCTGGTGCGAAGCCAAGAACATCACCCAGATTGTGGGCCACAGTGGCTGTGAGGCCAAGTCCATCCAGAACAGGTGGGATCTGGGTGCGGGGCGCACAGGACCCAGGAGGGAGGAAGGGGCAGAGCTGCCTGTCTGCACTTTGCCTCCCCCCCACAGTGACACGGTGTGGCGACTCTCCCCTGCAGGGCGTGCCTAGGACAGTGCTTCAGCTACAGCGTCCCCAACACCTTCCCGCAGTCCACAGAGTCGCTGGTCCACTGCGACTCCTGCATGCCGGCCCAGTCCATGTGGGAGATTGTGAGTACGCCCCGCCCCGCCCCTGCGGCACCCGGTGGGTTCCAAGCCTGCAGTGAGGCCCCTCTGCGTGCAGGTGCTGAGGCTGAGGCTGGAGTCACACACGGGGCTCTTGCTTCCTGCGTAGCTGAAGCGTTGACACCAGCACATAGGGGACAGGAGCGCTTTCTGAAGCGCCTAGCTGATGTCAGTTATACGCCGAAATTCTTTCTGTGGCTTTTCCCATTGCTGTTGATAGGGCCAAAGCCCGTGGAGTGAATCTGACTCACCAGGCTTTTTAGCTTCCTCTTGCCTCCCTCTCCTTCCTTATGGCTTGACACCTGATACTCTAATCACCTCCTTTCGGTCCCTCACACCCACTTGCTTGCTGCCCCACGACCTTTGACACACTCTTCTCTATTTGGACTACTATTCTCTTTCCTCCTCCTCAACCTAGTTAACTTTGTGCTTTTTTTAAAAAAAAAGATTTATTTTTATTTACTTATGCATAGAAAAATTGGGGTGTAGGCCAGAGGTATGTATGGGGGTGTGCGTGAGAAGATTCAGCAGAGATAGAGTGGGGAGCAGAACAGGCAGATCTAGTGAAATACAGTGCTGAGGGGAGCAGTGAGCGAGACAACAGAGGTCTGCTGCGCCGTGTGGGTCACTCCCTGGTGGGGATCGAACTCGTGCTGGCAATGCTCGATAGCGCTGTGCCACCAGGGACGCCCAGCTTCTGTTCATTCCTTTGTTCTCTTCTGCCTCTTTTTCTTAGGGCTCCTTTCCCGCCCCTTGCATCCAACTGCCTTTGGGTTACTGTGACAAGCCTTTCCGCTAACAGGCTGAGTCTCTTCAGTGACCACGTCTGTCATGTGTCCCCAGAGTGGCACTGAGTAGGGGTCTGCGGAGGGAGAGAAAGAAAAAGAAAGGACAATTGGAAGGGTGGGACAGGAGAGCATGAGGCGAAAGGGGCTTGTTGAGGGGCTTCGGCTGGGAGGGGCGGCTTTGAGGCAGTGTCTGAGTCTGGGCCTGCAGGTTGGGCAGAGGTTAACTGGACAGAGTGGAGGGCGGGTCGGGGGGATGGGCCGTTCCTGGCGGGGGAACAGCAGGTGCAGAGTCTCAGGTTCACGAGTGAGCGCTGCTCTGGTGGGAGCGGCGCAGGGTCTGGAGCGGAGAGGTCAGCCGGGCAGCCTGAGGGTGCTGGGTGGCCTTCACACGGAGTCAGCATTTTTCTCCAAGTGCAGTGGGGGCCGTGGAGGCCCTTCAGGCAGGGAGAGGTCATACTGCGGTTTTTGCTCTCTGACTTCGGTGGGGGGATGGATCAGAAGGCGGCAGGACTGGCTGCGAGATGGGTCGGGCTTAACCCCCTCCTCTTGGCCTGCTGGGAGACTGGGGTGCGACAGGAGGGCTCTGGCATCGGGGTCGGGGTGTTTTGGCCCCATGGGGAAGTGGTCCCAGGGAGGCCTTCTTAGGGACCTTTGGGAACATCGCTGCCCTTCTCTCCTGCCTCTCCAGGTGACCTTGGAGTGCCCCGGCCACGAGGAGGTACCCAGGGTGGACAAGCTGGTGGAGAAGATTGTGCACTGCAGCTGCCAGGCGTGTGGCAAAGAGCCGAGTCCCGAGGGGCTGAACGTCTACGTGCAGGGCGAGGACGGGCCCGCCGCCCAGCCTGGCCCCCACCCTCACCCCCACCCCCACCCCCACCCTGCCGGGCAGGCCCCTGAGCCCGAGAGTCCCCCGGGGGCCCCCCACCCTGAGGAAGAGGGGGCTGAGGACTGAGGCCCCCAAGTCTTCTCCCCTCTCGTCCCCTGTGGCATGTTGGGTCTCACCCTCCGGGGAGGAGTTGGGGGAGAGGCAGGAGCCCCCCCTTGGCACTGGATGGACTTGGATTGAGACTTGGACTTGGAATGCTTCCTGGTTGCCGTGGAGATCCGAGGAGGGTGGGAACCCAGTGACACAATTTAATATATTCAAGGGGGGGGGAAGAAGCAGAGGTCTTCAGGGTTCTTTATCGGAGGGGCTTCTCTTCCTCTCCTCCTCCTAATGATGTGCCCTCGGGACCGTGAGGAAGGTGGCTGAACTGCTGAGGCAGGGTGAGGCCCCTCGAGATGGCAGAGACAGGCTGAGGCCCAGCCCTGGTGGGCCAGGGCCGCTGGGTGCAGACGGTGGTGCCGGCCCGAGCTGAGGTGGGCTGCTTCCCAGCGCATCAGCAGAAGCAGGGTCCCTAGCCCCTGAGGCTTCCCAGAGGCCTCCCACCTGCTCCCCAAGGCTGGGTTAGCTTCTCCTCAGTGCCACCAAGTGCCCCCCTTGATGGCGTGGCTGGGAGTCAGGCCCGGGCAGGACCCTGCTGACTCATGGCCCTGGAGGTGGGAGCCAGGCTTTGGGCCTCTCCCGTTTCTGTGGCTTTCTGAGGGTGGGGGAGCGGGGGAGAGGAGGGAGGTGCCTTCCTGACCAGGGGGCAGGGGTGAACCCCCACCACACCATCCCTGCAGAAGAACAGTGCTGCATCCCACTCAGAGCCTCATACCCCACTGCCCCCCAAATTCTAGCCCCCCCCCCCATGGAGCTGAAAGAGCCAGCCTCACCCCTGGGCTGCTCTTCCTGAATACCTGCAAGTCTGGAGGGGGGCGCCTCTTCCCAGAGGTTTCAAGGCGGACCTAGGTTGGATGGATTCTGGCTGTGCCCCCAGAGGAGGGAGGGTGCAGGCTCTTGGGGGTGGGGTGTTCACTGCATTGTGTGGCAGCCATGGAGCTATCCAGTCTCACCCGCCCCCCCACTGCCAGCTGCACTTTACACGGGGGTGGGAGCCCCGGGGAGGAGGGCAATGAAGGCCACCCCTCGGCCACGTGCCCGCACCCTCTGTGATTGAGCTGGGTCCCACGAGGTTCTACACGGCAGGTCTGGTGGCTCCCAGAACTGCCTGCTGGCCCTGCCAGGCTCCTGCTTGGGGGCCCTGGCATCAACTTCTGACAAGAGCTTCTGGAGCTTGTAACCAATAGATTGTCTCCCTGACGGACCCTGAGTTTTCTCATGAATAAACTCATTCAATGCCTGGTCCTCATCGTCCTCGACTGGCCCTGCTGACCGGCTGTGGAGTCCCCCCCACAGCTGGGGGTGGGGTGGGGTGGGGTGGAGGGTTGGGCTGCGGCTGCGTAGCGCACAGCCCCTCCCTGCATCACACCACCCCCTCCTGTACCCCTGGCCCACCTCTTCTTTAGGGTGGGTGTCCAGGTCTGGCTGGGCTTTTCTGCATCAGCCCTTCCCTGGAGCCCGGCCTGGCCTGGCCCAGGAGAAGGGGAAATGAATCATCACGAGTGGTTACCAGATCATATACTAGGTAGGGTGCGGCCCTGGGGTCTGCCTCGCTCTCCCCAAGTCTGGGAGACAGCATTGCCCTCATTTCGAAGGTGCCCAGTTTGAAGGAAATGTTACCTACAGGATCATACCCACACCGTCTGGCCTCCGGGGTGGCCATTTGCTCATTGCCATGTGCCCACCTGCTCTTGTGACTGAGCTGGGTCCCCCGAGGTTCTGCGTGGCAGGTCTGGTGGTGTCACTGGGGAGGGTTGTGTCCCTTAACATGCTGCAGTAACCACCACATAGCAGGCAATCTGCTTATGTTACTTTGCACTCATGGAAAATTCTCAAGTTTGCACGAAGACCTTGGACCATTACACCTGAAAGTGACCTACCTGGGCAGCAGCAGCACCCCAATTCTGGCCCAGCACCCTTCTGGCAATAGTGGTATGGCATGTTATCCCTTCCTATCCTGGCTGCTCTCTCTGCCGTGCAGGTGGGGGTGCTTCCCGGTTCAGAACACCCTTGTTCAAGTTGGACACAGTTTGTGTGACCACCCAGGGTGGCCTGCACCCCTCTGTGTGGAATTTGGTTAGGGAAAAGTTTATGTCCTGCATGCAGACTCGGGTACCCCCTGTCTGGTATGACAACCCTACAGGCCATGCTGCCACGTCTGGAGGTGAGGGCTAACTCCAGGGGACAAGAAAGTGCTGCCCCAGTCAAAGGACTCAGCGGTCAGGTTCAAAGGAGGAGCTCCTGCCGGGTCCTTGGGGGTGGCCCCTGAGATCCCTTGGGGGGGTGTCCCGAGACCCCAGCACAGTCTCGGCAGAGTGAGTCTTGGACAGGAGCTGCCTGCATCCTCTGGAATTAGGCGGGGTGTAAATTCACCAACACCAGGAGGCTGCATGCAGACTGAGGCTGGCCTGAAATGACCAGTCCGAGTCAGACTAAGTCCTTTCGGTACTAATTGCCCAGGAGATGTCTGCGCAGGAAAAGGTGGAAGCCAGAGCTAAGGGCGCAGTAGGGATGAGGGCGTGGCCACGGGGCGTGGCCACACGGGAGCGACGCTGCTGGTTGGGCGTGGGGCACTGAGTGGGAGGAGCCACGTTGGAGGACCCGAAGAATTGTCTCTAGGTGTGCCAGCTTGGCAATGGGATAGAGGGGCGGGCAGTGACTTCCCACTCTTCCCTTGGCCAAACTCAAACTGAACCACCAAGGTGGTCCGGAATAAAACACCTTGCAGGCCCCCCCCCCCCCGCATTCCCCTTCACCACTATAAGGGAGGAGAGATTTAAATTCCGTGCAAGGTCTTCCCCGGAGAAGGGGTGGGTAATTTGTATGGCTTCCCCACCTGGTTTGCCAACAACTCCTCCTGCCCCAAATCTCTGGGAAAATCAGCCTGCCTAGGTTCAAATCTTACCTGCGTCACTTCCTACCTGTGTGAACTTGAGAGAGCTGCTTAAGTGTCTCTGAATTTCCCCATCTGTAAAATGGGGAATAATGATCACATCTACCTCACTCCCAAGGTCATGTTTACCTGAATCGTGTACACGGGCAATCTTATGTTGTAAGATTTCTTTATGCATACAAGAACTGGGGTACAGGCCAGAAATATAGGAGGTGAGAGGGTTCACCAGAGACAGAGTGGGGAGCAGAACAGGCAGATAGACTGAAACACACTGCTGAGGGGAGCAGTGGGGAGACAGGAGAGGTCTGCTGTGCCGTGTGGGTCACTCCCTGGCCGGGGATCGAACTCTGCTGCAGTGGCTGCCTATGGCTTCACAGTGCTGTGCTTCAACCCGTTGCACCAGCAGGGAAGGCCTTCCATGGGCAACTTGTAACAGTGCCTGGTATAGAATGAGGCCTTGATACTTTTATTAAAATTATTGAGAATGGGCCCTCCCTGATGGCACAAGGAGTGAAAGCACTGCAATATGAAGCTACTCGTGGCTGCTTCAGCAGGAGTTCCATCCCCAGCTGGGGAGCTGACCCACGTGGCGCGGCAGACCTCTCCTGACCCGCCTGCTGCTCCCCTCAGCAGTGAACTTCATCAATTTGCCTGTTCTGCTCCCCACTCTGTCTCTGGTGAATCCTCTCACCGCTTCTGCACCTCTGGCCTGTACCCAAGTTCTGTGTGCATAAATAAATAAATCTTTAAAAAAATTATTGAGAATGAATACTTGGCTCACAATTGCTGGTGGTTGATTGATTGTTTTGTTTATTCACGCACCAGATATAGTTTATCAGCAGCCTAACAGGTGCTGAAGATACAGCAGTGAACAGAAGGGACAGATCCCTGCCTTCCTGGAGTTAGCCCATGTAGTTTGTGTCTCCTGCAGGAGCTGCTCTGGGAAGACCCCACAACTCCTGCACTTCAGTTCCTCCAGCCCTGCAAAGGGCAGCTCTCCTGCTCCTCTATGTGCTGACAGGCGTAGAGGTCTGGGGCAGAGGACTTGCTAAGACTCAGCTGCCCCTAGCCCCAGCCCTCCCATCCAGGAAGGACACATCCTGTAGCTAGAAGCACTCGAGCAAATGCTGAGCATCCTTGAAGGTCCTTCTCTACTCAGCATTGTTAAGGAAGTGCAGGACTTGACTACTCCAAGATGAGATGACCAATGTAAGCACACCCAGGCACCGCTCAATGTAAGAGCTCAGGTGACCACAAGGTGGCGCCACTGCCAGGCCCAGTCTTGAAAAATTATTTTTTTAATCACAGCAAAGTACGAGTCATAATATAACATCTGTGAATTTATCACCTAGAACCAACAAATATTTTTAAAATTTTGGCATATTCTTTAGGTCTTAAAAAATTAAGGACATCAAACGTTACAGCAAAATCTAAAGCAGAGGGACTAATTTTTTTTTTAAGATTTATTTATTTGGCATAGAGAACTGGGGTACAGGCCAGAGGTGTGGATCCCCCAAAGACAGAGTGGGGAGCATAACGGGCAGATGTACTGAAATAGACTGCTGAGGGGAGCAGTGGGCGAGACAGGAGAGGTCTGCCACACCATGTGCGTCATCTGGTCATCTCCGGGGCCAGGGATCGAACTCATGCTACAGTGGCTTCAGCCGGCTTCACAGTGCTGTGTTTTAACCCTTGCGCCACCAGGAAGGGCCCCCACTCCAATTTCTTAGTAGCAAAGAATTTTATTTTATTTTATTTTTCCACACTCACAGCCCAGGTCCACTGGAACCGTTGGGCCCATGGGTCTGGTTGCCTGGGAGGCGCCCGAGGGGCCAGCGTGCGCAGAGGAGCTGGTGGGTGCCCGGACAATGGGCTCCAGAGTCTATTCCATGTGGCATCTCCAGGGCTTGCTCTTGCTGGTTGAAGGACTGCTGGCAGACTGGGCGCATTTCCATTGCATGGGGGACACTGAGGCCAACAGCCAGTGAGACGCACGGAGGGGCTTGCGGATTGCTCAGGCAGTGCTGCTCCAAGACCGCGGGACGGGGTGAGGCATTGCTCTGCCCACTATTACAGAGGAGAGAACGGTGCTGGGAAGTCTTGGGGCTGGGACCCCATGTCCAGCCTTTCTCACTCTGCCCAGTGCCTGATAGCCCGTTCCTTAAGGTGTTGCAGGAATTGTCTCTTAGTTGTCAGGGCGATGTGGGTTTGGGGGTGCCGGGAGGCCAGGCCTCTTCCTCCAGCATCACCTGCCACCGAGACTGGTGTTCTGAGCACCTACCAGTGAGTTGGGGGTGGCTGAGGTCTTGAGGTTTCTCTGTAGTAGGCTCCCCCGAGTTTCAGACAGTTTGATCACGGCTGCTGGTGACCTTGGGTGAGGCCCAGGGCCTCTCTGAGCCTCCACTTGGCACCTGCCTCTCAGTATTATTTTGGGGGCAAAAAGATAATCAACCCCTGAAACATAGCCGGTGTTACTGTGCTGGTCTCCTCTCGACTCCATTCTCTCTCTATTGCTCTACATTTTCTTTTGCTCTATAGCACCTGATCGCTTTATGGCTACTTAAAAATTTGTTTCATTGTCATTTTTTGTTTCAATGCTCATTGTCTCCTACTACTAGGATGTAAACTTGGAGAAGTCAGGACTCTTTGTCTTGGTTATTGTAGTCACAATAACCAATTAATCGGTCACAACAATGTCAGATACCTAGTAAGTGCTCAATAAATGTGAAACGAATGATCAGGCCCACAAACACCTAGCAGGTGCTGTCTCCTCTTAGCCAGGAGGACAGGGACACAGCAGGGTCTCATGCAGGGGCCCCACCTACTCCTGTAGAGGGTGACTCTGCTCCTTCCCGCCTGGGGAGCCCCAAGGCTGTGG